TGGCTGCAATGATGAGCTCAAGTATAGCAGGGATTGTGGGGCTGGCGCAGGATAGGGCAGTGTTTCGTTCTGCTGTGCATGGGGTCGCTATGAGTCGGAAATGACTAGACGGCACTTAAAGACAACAACAACAACAACAACAACAACCAGGCCTTTCTCCCAAGGCTCATCTGGAAGGGTATGACTGCCAATTACTGATTCCTAGTTTGTCAACCATTTGCACCACCTAGGAACTTTGCCTTTTTAAATATAACCTATCAAAATATTTGAAGAAATGCCTGATGATCTAAAAATCAGCCAAAATATAAGTCATTGAAATTCCTTGGGAGCATAATTCTACTCTGAGATGTATGGCGGTTGCCACGAGTCATATCCACTTAATTGATTTGTGCATGTGTTTGTGTTTGAATATCAAGAAAAGAAGTTATGCCACCTCTTTTAAACCAGTCTTAGATTTTCAAGCATATAATAATATTCTACTTCCTATCCAATTTTCTTTGGGGACCTAATACCAAGATCTTAGCAACAAAGTTAAAATCAATTAAAATGCAAAGTCAATGTGAGTGTTTATAAACAGTTTTCACCTTAACGATTTTTACAAATATCTTGGGTAATTAGCACTTTAGAAACAGAAGAAAAGGTTGTTTTTCTATATAATATATTCCATGACCACCAAAGTTTTTTTAATGGTGATCCAAACCATTTTGCCTCTTTTCTAGGCTTAATTTTCTGAAAAAGGAAATCACAATAAGGAAGAAAATATTCTTGATACAAAAACTCAATTTCTAAGTCTTCATCATTCATTCCTTTAAAATCTAGGTCAAATTCATCTATTACTGAGGTTAAAGGAGCTCTGGTAGCATAGTACCTAAAGCACTTGATTGCTAACCAGTAGGCCTGCGGTTCAAACCTACCAGTCACTCCTTGGAAGGAAGGTTGGGCAATCTACTTCCATAGTGATACTGCCTCGGAAACCCAAGGAAGCATTGCTATGAGTAGGATCCAACTCAATGGCTGTGAATTTGTTGGGTTTTTGGTAAAGTACTATGAGGCATACAACAGCCTAAGGCTGCTTAGGGAGATTCTTGAGTATTCCCAAAGAAGAGCTACTCTCTTAAATATTAAGTCATAAAAAAGCAAACAAAAGTATTAAAAATTAAGTTTAAAATCCCAATTATTTTTGAGAGATGAAGATATTGAAAATTGACACCTCTGAAGGTGTTTGTTTAGCCAGAATAGTTTTTCTTATAGAATATTAATGCCTTGGGCATGTGTGGTAGTTAAGTTTGTGTGTCAATTTGGCTGGGCCTGGCTGAGTGGCTGGGCAGCTGGTGTTAGTTATTTCCCATGATGAGACTGGCAGCCAACTCCATGGTGGGATCTATGACAAGCAGCTGAGTAGCTCCCTTTGGGATGTGGTCTGCTTCCTGTATATAAGGAGATGGCTTAGGGATAGTCTCTAGTTTATAACACATTTGAACCCTGAGTGTAATTGCGTTGTTGTTTAACAGCCTGCCAGGTTCTGCCAACCTTGGGACTTTCAATGGACTTGAATCATGGCCTGTCATGTGGTTTGGTAACATCGGGACTATGCCATTTTATTTGTCAGCCTTGGGCTTGTTAGCCTCAGCAGCTAATAA